AGCTTCCACCATTTTCGCTTCTTGATTCTCCACATTTTTATTCGACTTATTCTTCCTCTCACTTATTCCGTCTTCCTTTTGGACTTCACCGGATCTTTCACCGGATCTTTCACCTGATCTTTCCCCTGATCCTCTTCCTCCTCCTCCTCCTCCTCCCCCTTGGCCATTGTCTAAACGCTTGCACCTTAAGAGCAGCCATTTCCTAAACCTGTTCGGTGACCTTATATCTACTTGTGCTAACTAATGCAGTTGGACCCTAGGCGGATGGATGGGGTAGGGGTAGGGGTAGGGGTAGGGGTAGGGGTAGGGGTAGGGGTAGGGATAGGGATAGGGATAGGGATAGGGGTAGGGGTAGGGGGAGCGGGGAGGGCTGGGTGGGCCTTGTGACACCTGCTTGCCAGTTCCCACACGATAAAGCCTAAGTGGCGAGTCAGGTCTCCGGACTGGCTTGAACCTTCTATATTTCTCTCTATATATATCACTATGTTAAATCAATCATTCAAGTTACTTCCATTGATTTCCATTGATGCGAACGTACAAGCTACCGACATTAAGTGACTTAAAAGTGCAGCGTGTAAATTCATCACTAAAAAAAAAGTTTCTCTAAATACCTCCTTTCCTCCTCATTTGCAGCTCAGTCTCGCGTTATCCTTTCCCCTATATTCCGAACTTAATTAAATTTGTTAAATAGGCCTCACGTTACATTTAAGTGACCCCTACCATCGCTCCGTTTTCTTACACATTTATGAAGCCCATTTTCTTCGGATCTTTTCTCGTCAGGGTACCTTAAATGAAAAAAAAAATCAATTTACACGTTATGTGTAGCTTATCTGAACCTGACTTCACCACCTCCACAGTTACCTATATCAGCAGAGAGATAGCAAGAGACCGAGTGATAGATAAAAATATCTGACTATGGCACCATGAGATACGTTCAAGATAAAAGTTATCACGGTCAAGTTTTCACCGGTTTACGAAAGACACGAATATTTAAGTGCAACAAATTATAAAATTATAGATGTGAGGGCCCGTTTTCTTCCCTCTTGTTGCACAACGCGTGAATCAATACTACGGCAGGGGACCTCTGTCTAAAGATAGCAACACCCAGAAAGAACGCAGAATATAAGCCGTTGCTTTATCAAATTTCACAATTCAATCAGCTCCGCTATTCCGAAGACACTCATTTAAATATATTCACCTTCGTGTTCGCAGCACGATATACAAACCCTAACTTTTGTTATAAAACAAAACCAATGACAACCGATTTTTAATTGTCAACTGGTAGTGAAAATGGATTGCAAATATTAGTAACAAACATGCTTTCAAATCAAGCGCCCGTTGAAATTTGCCTTCCCTATCAATGCAACTGCCTTTTGCGACAATCATCCCGTATGCTTAGAAAGCCGGGGCAGGTCGACAGCAATCCTGCGGTGAAAATCTTCGCCAAATTTCTGTCGCTTTCACGACGGAAGACTTATATCTGGTGCCTATTACAGGAATCCAACTTTTTTTTCTTATCTAAAAGGGCCCTACTCTCTCTAGCCCTTTCATTTGTTAGACATTTTTTTCTGTAATGCACAGCTCAAATGAAACCCGTTCTAGTTCAAACTAGTTTTCCGGCAATCAATTTCGGCAGATTCTCGCCCAGGTGTTCGCCACGAATACACCTGTGAGAGGAGGAAGCGCAAAGGGTCAAGCCCGCTAACCAGAAATGCTTAACATGAATTCTTAACTATAAATCCCCAGACAAAGACACAGCCAAGCAAGCATCTCTGGATAGGCGCATGTACAGAGGGACAAGATGTGGGCCATGGGGGTGCATGGAAGAGGGATGTTAACTGTAGCTACAAGTTAATATCTGCCAGCCGCGACAACTTGTCTCCACTCCTAATTGACCCGTAACATCTGTGGAACGCAGATGTCCACACACGCCACCATTGCTATATGATAATGATAATGTCTACTCGGTACCTTCTACCTCGGCTCTTTCCATTACTTGTCGTTGTCTTTATTACGGTCTTATCACCACCATTATCATAATTTCAAAAAGCCAATTTCCCCTAAATTATACTGGGCGTGCTCTTTGCTATTCCACTTTAAAATAGTAATTATTTCGCAGTTTCAAACGTTTGTCGTGGCCAACGTGCTTCCAACCCCAGCAGAGGCCAACAAACCTCCAATACATTACATTCTGCCAAATGAGAGCTTCGACCGACTAGTCATTTGATGGTATATCGTAGGGAGACTGCGAGCTCTATTTTGCTAGAATATACGTGTAGAGTTTGTCTTTTGCCGAAGAACAGGCGTCTCGTAAACATTCTATTAGTGCAGCAGCAGTAGTAGTAGCAATAGTAATAAATGGTAATAGTATTAGTAGTAATAAGAATAGTTGCTGGTAGTAATAGGTGACAGCGGAGGAAGTAGCAGAGGTGTTAGAAGAGGCAGAGGCACTGGCAGTAGTAATATGCGTGATAATAAATGCACGATGACAATAGCACGTGACGAATACGACCAAATTTCACACAGGATCCTCTCATTACAATTCTAATTTCTTTTGACCCTAGAAGCACTACCATCACTGATATGGCCACGGGAACTAAAATGGACACTAAATTAAGGGTCTTTGACGGGTATTTCAGTACAAAAAAATGTATTCTCGCATTACTGGAGATATATATACATAATATCACTCTGAACAAAATTCAAATTACTGTAAATTGCATTATCTGACATGTCCCTGGGCCCCTGTGGTAATATATATGCCAAGCCAGAGGGCCTAGCCCCCTGGACCCCCGTAGTAATATATACGCCTAGCCAGGGGGCATAGCCCCCTGGACACCCATGGTACTATATGCGTCTAGAATTCACCCTCGCAATGTAAACAAGATGAGCGACTTAGCCAAAATTGGGGGATCTTCTCTTTTCATTTACGTATAGCACCCTTGGGAAGCATTTGTACACACATTGCCATGGGAGAACTTTGTCTTGGTTTGTATTGTTCTATCATTTCATGTAGGTTTTATTACCCAACTCTGCCACTACCTTATACTACATATTGTCCGAATAAATCTAGTCTAAAGGCAATTAGTCAAAGCAAGAAGCTGCAGAGTATACAATGCTAGTGGTGGAAGAGGGGAACATTAGGCAAGGGTAATTGTTATCGTGGGAGACGCTCCGGCCAGAGACTAAATTCCAGAAAACGTGATTATAGAAAACGGACGTATAGAAAATGTATAAAATAGAGCTATAGAAAACGAGACATTTAGGACTGGCTTTGTGAAGGTGTTCTGGACTTAGTCCCTGAGCGGTGACATGCAGCGAACATTTTCATTTCCTGGTAATTATGAGGACACTGCACATAGACTTGTATAGTCTTCTATTCCATTTTTATGCTCTATAAGATGACAGTGTAAATTTTCCTCCATCTCTGTGTCGCTCTCGGTAACATTGACCGGTAGTAGTATTAATATAGCTATATTAATAGAAATCGTCCCGTGAAACGTCACCCTTAAAAAGATAACAGTGCACGGGTTCCGTCAACGTAATCACGTGATTCCTTATCGCAGAAAGAATGGGCGAAATAAAAGTCGAGTCCGATAGTAAAATGAAGACGGCAGAAGAATGAAGGAGGAACGATAAAAGTGTTTGGAAAGAATGAGGAGAAAGTGGAAAAGTTCCTTCTTTCTTCTACGTAATTGCAGCTTACACTGATAAGCTCCTTATCTTTTTCCTTAATCAAGGTGACAGTTAATCTCTACTCACTTCAAGTTAATGTGAAACGTCAAGGGCAAATCGGAATGGTAACTTACTTCATTTCACAATTACTATTTAATCGCTCTTATTGGTACTATGTATATATATCTAATAAGATGTATTATTTCCCACAAGCACCCATGCCAGTTAACATATGTTTCATATTTCAACTTGCATCCCCTTAGAATCCATCTTAGGCAGCCCTTTGTCTATGCAGCCAATGCAGCAGTGTACACCTTTCCTTATTATCCTATATAAAGTAGCTTACTTCATTATATACCAAGAAGCTGTACAATCTTCCAATCTGAATCCTCCTAACCATGCACTAATCTTACCCCAGGCCATCATGACTCACGTTCTC